ACTCCAAATGATTCCAAATGACGGAAATGGCATAGGGGTCAAACTTCTTGACCTCTGATCCAAATAGGGGGTAGATGATAGGGATTGACTGTTGGTCCAGATTTAGCCCCGACTTGCCCAATTTAAAACAAGAAATCGGTTTTATGACGAAACAACGGGACATGAACCATCATGAACCAACAAAAGGCCCTGGAGAACAACTATGCGTGTAGTAGCGATAGTCATTTGCCAGAACCATGTTCCCGATTTGGTGCAATTATCGGCTCATGAACCGCAAATGGGCTCACGAACAGGATCCAGGCCCATCACCCAGAGAATGTTCGAATACAGAGTAAGCCTCCGGTACTCAAACGTTGCCTTTGGAAATCATGTACCTATGGGTTTCAATGGGGGAACATGGGGGATTTTCTTAAGCCACGTTTGAGGACACCGGAGAGTCGCCGCTTGAGGCTACTATTGGCAAGACAACGAGGACCACATCAACGACTTCTTCGACGAGCCGCAGGCCGGGGAGGAGAACTCCAGAGTCGGTCTGAAGGATGGCTTTTTTGGGTTGAAAAAACACCCATGGCTTAAAAAAACCATGGACGTTTTCTGGCCTTATCATAATGGAGTATCTGGGGATCTGTTTGTCAACAAGGTATACCCCAGAATTGCAGTTTGAATGGGAAAACATGTGAAGTTTCTCAGCATCTTTCATTTGGGACTACCCTGTTTTTAGCCAAGCCGGCTCTGATGAATACCTAAACAAACCGACCCATTCCTACGGGGGGTGAAGATTCAGCATCATTCAGGCCAAAACCAAAGCGAAGCGTGGCGGCTGGGGCGTGGGTGGCGACAAGATGTGGGGCTCTGGTCGTGGTGTGGAGGCGGGTTGGCAGGGAGCTGCCATGGGACCATTTGAAGGCTGGAGGATTTTGATCATTTTTGATCCACAAAAGCAGCGAAAAACCTGGATGAAACAGCAACAATCTTGCCCTGCCAAACCCGGATTTTTCTCAAGCTGTATTGAATTGGGGGGATCTGGCACTTTAAGTATAGCTACTATCTATGGTGAAGTTACCTTCTGGTAATTCGTGAAATAACTATGGAAAAACACCACACAAATAATAGGTAAATCATGAAACTAGGCAAAATTCCACAGCAAACTCTTAGATTCCCAGAGGGTATGGTCATTTATGGGGCATTTTCAGCAACAACAAACCTCTGGATGTCCCTTAACCGCCATAATAACCTCATTTGGGACTAGCAAAATATTGTCCAGCCATCCCATGGCTACACCGAAGAAACTGCGGCAGTTACATAGGACCAAAAAAAGAGGGATGTTTTTTTTTTGCGACAGTAACAGTTTTTTTTTTCAAACAGTAGCAACCTTACGAGAAAGTTAGTTTTTTTTGCGACAGTCTCCACGGAGAAGGGTTTTTTGCAACGGTTCAGCGAGGGTTTTTTGCGACGGTGTCCCGCGACGAGGGTTTTTTGCGACCGTTCAACGGTTTTTTCCCGAGAGCGTCTGAGCGCAGGGTTCTTCCAACAGTGGGGGTCTGTATCTTATCTTCTCATCTTCACATCTTCTCATCTTCACATCTGTATCTCATCTTCTCATCTTCACATCTTCTCATCTTCACATCTGTTCATCTTCACATCTGCTCATCTTCACATCTGCTCATCTTCACACCTTCTTTCACATCTTCTCATCTTCACATCTGTTCATCTTCACATCTGCTCATCTTCACATCTGCTCATCTTCACATCTGCTCATCTTCACACCTTCTTTCACATCTTCTCATCTTCACATCTGCTCATCTTCACATCTTCTCTCACATCTGCTCATCTTCACATCTGCTCATCTTCACATCTGCTCATCTTCACATCTGCTCATCTTCCCACCTTCTCTCACATCTTCTCATCTTCACACCTTCTCTCACATCTTCTCATCTTCACATCTGCTCATCTTCACATCTTCTCTCACATCTCTCTCACATCTTCTCTCACATCTGCTCATCTTCACATCTTCTCTCACATCTTCTCTTACATATTCTCTCACATCTTCTCTCACATCTTCTCTCACATCTGCTCATCTTCACATCTTCTCTCACATCTGCTCATCTTCACATCTGCTCATCTTCGCATCTTCTCTCACATCTGCTCATCTTCACATCGGTATCTTCACACCTTCTCTTCACATCTCTCATTCTATCACATATGCTCATTCTTCAACATCTGCTTCATCTTCACACCTTCTCTCACATCTCTCTCCTTTCTTTATCTTCTCCTCTTTAGGCCGAGGGTGGGCGGCGTGTGGTGGTGAGTCACGAAACAGCAAACCTTTCGCACGAAATGAGGGGGTGTTTTGATCGGCAAAAACTGGTAAAAGTGCGATTTTTTACTTTTTTTTTGCCCGGAGCAACTTCTTTCGCACGAATGAGGGTCGATGGCAACAAAAAAATCAGGGGATTGGTAAAAGTGCGAGTTTACTTTCTGTTGCCGGAGCAACCCTTTC